GGGTTAGAGAGAGAGAATAAATAGGAAGTATGTTTTTTGGGATTTGGCTATACAATGCTAATATTTTTGTGGTTGCCTTTACCAACATAAATTAAGGCCAAATTTTGTCAATTCCTCTTATATGTTGTTACCGGTGTCAATTTCCCTTCGAGGAATGTTGAGTTTTAGTTTTGATTACGTCGGACTTAGGATTGATATGAAAGCCGCCCAATATTCTTTGTAGCCCATTAAACTTGACCCAGGAGAACCCATGAATCAATCATGATGCTCAAATATAGATTGCAAATGGGCAAGTTGGATTAAATTTGGGTCGTTATAAACGAAATAAATGAATAAATAGATTATGATCCAACTCGCCAAAATTTGTATGAATCAAAATAGATTGGATCAAGATGAGTCTAATATCATAATTCCACTATCCAACATGACCCAACTTTGGGCGAAGTGCATTAACATTCACTTTTAAGCATGATATTTAAAATTTATTCATAATTTACAATGTACTTAAAGATTATCTAATTTACCCAAATTTCAGGACTAAGTATCCTGAATTTTGGTATCATGAATAGAGCGGCTAATTTGGAATTTAGGACTTAGTGTCCTAAATTTTTGATGTGCTAATTTAATTTATAACATGCTAATTTTCGAACTTCAGGACACCTTGGCCTGGAGTTTGAACGAATTGACTAATTTTTAAATACATTGTAGATTATGGATATATTTTAAACAACATGCTTAGAAGTGGCTATGTGGTGTCATTTTCACCCCAACTTTAATTTCATTGATGGTCATTGAACTATCTTTTAATTTCATTAAAGTCATATAACTATTTTTTGTCACTTAAAAGTAACTAAACTTTATCATTATCACTTAAAAGTCATTTTGTCTCAAACCCCTGAGATGTCATTAAATTTTATGTTAAAAATCCAAAAATAAATGCCACATAAGCTAATATGGGTCATACCCATTTTATATCCATTTATCCTTTAATGTGATTTGATCCATAGTCCAAATGAGTTTCGATAAAAAAAATAATAATTCCACATTAGTTTAAAATGATTATCCTATACTACAAAGTTTTGTCTTTTCTGTCACAGCACATTCATATTTATTCTATACTAAAATAATCTATGCTAGAAAATTCTTATCTTGTTTGTACGCCCCATCCGAGTCATTTTATAACTCTACTGAAGCTAAAATACTATTGTATACAATAGTATTTTAAAATGACTCGGATGAGGCATACAAACAAAATAAGAATTTTCTAGCATAGATTATTTTAGTATAGAATAATTATGAATGACTCAGATGGGGCGTACAAACAAAATAAGAATTTTCTAGCATAGATTATTTTAGTATAGAATAATTATGAATGACTCAGATGGGGCGTACAAACAAAATAAGAATTTTCTAGCATAGATTATTTTAGTATAGAATAAATATGAATGTGCTGTGACAGAAAAGGCCAAACTTGTAGTATAGGATAGTCATTTTAAACTAATGTGAAATTAATATTTATTTTTATCGAAACTCATTTGGATTATGGATCAAATCACATTAAAGGATAAATGAATCTAAAATGGGTATGACCCATATTAGCTTATGTGACGTTTATTTTTGGATTTTTATCATAAAATTTAATGCATGTCATATTTATGGTAGAGGTTTGAGGCAAAATGACTTTTAAGTGACAATGATAAAATTTAGTTACTTTTAAGTGACAAAAAATAGTTATATGACTTTAGTGAAATTGAAAGATAGTTCAATGACCATCAGTGAAATTAGCCCCTTATATTATTAGTCTTTGTATTGAGCGTCCACTCTTCTAAATTTACATAATCTTCAATCTCCTAATTTGTTGTTGTATTTTTGGAGTTAAGCTGCATTTGACCTGTCGGGTGCACGATTTTAATCCGTTTTGACCCAATAATTTGATGAGTCATTTCGGGCTCTCACTCATATCTCAAGTCAATAAACTAGTCATATCCATCCCATTTAAACTTGGACGAGTTGGGCATATTACTAAAAGAGATTGATTGTGCCATCTCCAATGCAAACTTAACTAGTCAATTTTGTAATCCAACAAAAGAAGATCGCCTTTTGATAGGTCCTCAACCAACTAATTAAAGAGAGAAGGCATTGGGCTCGTGATTTGTGAAGATCTTGTTCTTCATTTCTTCTGCTTCAATAAGTCACTGATCTCATTTTCAATCCAGTGCATATTCACGAGATGTAAATGCATTATGCTAAAATAGAAGACTTTTACTTGGTTTTCTCCATTTCCCTTAAATCCCCACCTCAATTTCATCAAACAAGACTCCGTGAACTCCCATTGGATACTTCACCAGCTTTTCCTTAGCTATATTTTGGAGTACTATTTAGCAGTTGCGAGTTGGCATTTTAATTTCATCTTAAGTTTTGTGATGGGCAGTGGCCTATTATTTTCTTTCATTTCTGTTGTTGAATTTTTATCCATTTATTCATGGCAAATTTTTGCTGCTCCATTGAAATGGAGCCTAAGACACTGAATCAAGGTCAACTTAACCTCGCCCGAGTAATGCCTCCACTCTCTAGTTTAATTTGTTGATTTCACTATCACTATATTCTTTCACCATTTTAAAAAAAAATTTATTATGATTTGTTTAATTTATGATAATAATGCAGGAAGTTGCTGTTGACATAGTGCAGAATACAGAATCGGACGAAGCATCAAATATATTTGTAGAGGTCTGCAGCCATCACATATATATGCTTTGCTATTGCTAATTTGTACAATCTTATAGTTGTGCTTAGACATATACTAGCGGATGGACCTTTACCTTATATCATAGCATATTTAGGACGGGTTTTACAGGTTTAACTAAAATTATTACTTTTAACTCGAACAAAAGTAAAATATATGTGTGACATAAATAAGATTACATTCATTCTGAACTCATTGACTCTAGATCTTAAATTTCTTCTGCCTTATAGCTAGGGGGATAATGCACCTGCATCAGTTGACTCAAGCTATATGTATATATAGTTAAAAAGTGTTATCATACGAGTAGTGGCTGTAGTAATATTTCACGTTACTGACTTAAAATTTTAAATTTGTGTTCGCTTACATCGCCTTTTCTAACGAGAGTTCTTTCTTGTTTTCTGCCTCTGGGATTTCAAAACGCAAATGTACGCACCATAGGGAAGAAAGGCAGTTATTGAAATAAAGGAGGCGCTAATGCTAATTGAGGAAGCACATTCAGTCGAAAACTGCAAAGAAGAAGATTGCGCAGTCCAAGTAATGAAGACAAACGTGGTAATAGAGGCATCTTGCCAATGCTCGTGTCCTTCAGCAATAATAGACTCGCCTGATCAATCTAAGCTTAAGGAACCACTCTCTGCTCCCTTTTGAAACTTCACTACAACAACGACTACGCCTCAACCCCAAACAAATTAGGGTTCGACTAGTACTATCTCGAAATAAAGATGCAACATTTCAATTTGCTACATATATCAGCTTCTATTTGCTTTTACCATGTAACGTTTTATGATCCGTTGGCATTCAAGTGTTCCTAGTATTTCGGTATTGTGGAAATCATGAATTCTTCTTTTCATTTAAAAATATTTAGGAGTTAATTAGCTTTGTTTACTGACAATGTATAAGATGATTATACAATTTATATTCCATTGCCTCAATTGCAGTAGCCAGTACGTAGTTGTTCATTTACCAACTTTTCAATTTCAGAAAAAGCTTTAGTAGACATTTTCACAGTAGATCATTCTTTTAATCTTCTCGACTTACAGATTTCTGTTATTGTTGGTGGATTAAGGAACCTTGTAGTTGATAATTTTCAATAACCCATAATTTTGTTATTAAACAAAATTTGAGTGAAAAGGCCAAAATAATTTCCCTGTCGGTTGATTGATTCAACCATTTACCAAGTGATCTTAATATTCTCGTTTTCTTTGGGAAATTAATAAATTTGACGAAATTACTTCATCCAACTAATAGTATATCTATGCATGGAGATTAATGAATGGTCTGGCTCCATATAATTTTTGGCGGTAAAGGTATCAGCTGTGTTCTGGTCTTGCCAAGTTCACATATAAAGGCGACAAATTTATTGCATACAATTTTGAATACTTATGACTTCCGATAATGTGCAATTATTTATCATCTCAAGAATATTTTTATATTTTGCTTTATCCATTAAGCATTTGAAATTCAGTGATTCGATTGATCTAGATCATAAAAGAAGCATAATACAATTAAAATTTATTTGTACTCGATATTTACGTTAAATTAATAAATGCAAGATATGCCTGTCATATTTTCTGGTGGCCACTCTTCCCCCATCTTCCACCGGTATTCACTTCCTCCTCCTCTTTCTCCACCAACATTGCTACCATCCACTAAGCAGCCCAAGTCGAACTTGGTTTTAAAACCGTTATCAAATATGATTGTTATAAGCAAAAATATTACTAGAATTATAATACATATTAATTTTTAATTGCTAAAGTTACATAATTTAATTTGATATAAATATTAAGTGCGACTTGCGAGTATGTGTTTATCGGATAAATACTCCCTATTAAAAGTTTTTCATCAATTTCTAACGCTTGAATAGAGAAATTTGATCAAAGATAGATAAGTTTATTCTCTCGCCACGCTCCTTGAATCCGCTAAAATTATCATTATCCAAACAAAAACGCTCTCTCTTTTCTGCGTGGCTAAAAATGAATTGAAAAGAGTTTTCTTCTTTATTAGCGATTGAAGTTTGACAATTGAGACACTCACTTGAGAGATAATATATTTTTGAAACTTAGTTTAGGAAAAATGATGAAAGACCAAAATACCCCGGACACAATTTGGTTTAGAGTTCAATCAGAAGGACAGTGAGAGTCATTTGGTTGAAAGCCACCGCTGGCGTTGAGCTAACGCCTTTATTTGAATTGAATTCACACAATAATCAAAATTCTAGGGTTTATTCATTCTCGCGCTCTGCAACCTAAAACCCTCCAATTTTCAAATCTCAGGCCACCACCGGCAGTCTCTCCGCGCTATTCAGGTACTCTCTTTTCTCTCTGCGTAGTCAAGCTCTTGGAAATTTTGAGTTACATTCTTTCTATAATCGGACTTCAATAAAACCAAATTATTGAATGCAAGTTTGCGAAACTGTATCAATCCCATGGCACAAATTTAATGTATTTCGTTTTCTCTTAGCCAGGGCATTTCTAGGTTATATACTTACCGGCATATCCTGTAGCTTTGTTAGTTAATTCTCGAACTCTGAGTGTTTGATTATATCTTTAAGGGCTGAGAAGAGAAATGAGTACAGCAGTGCGAACCCCAAAATCTGGAAGGCAATCATTGTTCTTTCAGGATTTAGCAACGCCTATATCCTCTCGAAAATCAGGGTCAAAATTTAGTACCCCAGGTCAGGCAGCAGCTGTTTCTGCCTTATGGCGTGAGAACTTTTCCAGCTCAGATCTCCCACCACCACCTGTATTTACCCTTGAAGATCGCTCAGAAGTCTCTCCGGAATCTGGGATTCCTGATTATGTTACTTCACCAGAAATCAAGTCGGACCCTAGAACCCCAGTACAAACTTCAGGAAGGGAATTTGCAACTCCTAAGACGAGGTCTGAGGCGAGCACTTCGTATGCATTGATGGGTAAGCAGCAGCAACAGAGTCAGCAAAGCCCCTTGCCGAGTTTGAGCTGGTGGTCCCCCTCGAAGGGTAGTGGTAGTGCTGAGCAGGATGACAAAGGAAAAGGTTCACCAGTCGAAGGCGTCGTACATCCTGGTGCTTTGATAACTTTACCTCAACCAAGGGAAGTTGCAAGGCCAGAGATCAGGAAGAACTCATTCCCTGTGGGAAACCTCGATGAGGAAGAATGGGTCACAGTTTATGGGTATGGCTTCTGTATTTCATACTTTATTGGCTGTTCTTTCACTTATGTTCATAGTTAGGCTTAGGCTAGCATGTAGTAGAATCTTGATGAAAATTCTTTAGTGTGTCTTAAACTCCTTGATGCCACATAATATTCATTTTGCCTGCTAGCTCCTTTAAGTTACTTCTGCACCTCGTTGTTGCATTTTAAAGTATGCTCGGGAACTTTATCCATTATTATGTTTTCTGTTTCTTTTCCTTGACTTTTTTGTTTTCCTCCTTCACTAGAGTTGTCATTACTTTCTACTAGGATTAGATGTACCCGTGTCAATTTACATGGCAAGAATTCTTGAGGATATCTTTTGAGGTAGCCTAGTCATTCTAATATTATGTAAGGTTCTGCTGGACGGAGATATTTAAATTTTAGGGGATCTGAACTTAAATTTTTTAAAATTCGACGGTTTCAATACACATGTTCTCCAATGTTTTTGACTCATTTTCTTTAGTATATCGAACAGGTGAAAAGGATTTAAGCTGTTAATTTGAAATACATACGATCATATCCTTTCAACAAATTCTCCATAAAAGACAAAGAGACATTGATCCAATTGAACAGGGAGAAGGAAATGAAATGTTATTGTCAAATTAACTTTCTCTCATCCTTTCGCATTGCATCCGTGCTTGAAAAAGAAGAGGAACATTGATCCGTTCTGACTTCTGTTCTCTGTCTCCCTTGGTGTACTGAGGTTATTCCAGAACGGAACAAATGCCCTCATTGGAAAACTTTTTCCTGGCGATATTGAGAAGATTGAGTGTTTAAAGGCTCCATGGATGTAGCTGCAATTTATTCTTTACTTCCTTCTTGTAATGAATTCCCTTCTCATGTCCACCCTGTAAATAAGAGCAATGTATATATCATTTTGGAGGGAGAAACAGTTCTGCTCCTCTATCTTGCCTTCCTGTTTATTTTGCATCAAAGATTTTTCAAGAAAAGGAGACAGATCTATTTTAGTTGTGTTAGCTGGATTAATTGCTTGCAAAATACCTATACGGATACAATAAACTTATCTTATCTATGTGTTCCGTTTACTCTCTTTGAGATGCTCTATTGGGACACTAAATTTCTGCACTTGTCACATTTGCTGGGTGTTTCTCGTGTCGGTTGTATTCTCATTAATATACTATTCGTGACTAGTTGAGATATTTGGGCTTTTCTCCCTTGATTTCTATAAACTTAGTACTTGATTGAAGTCAATTTGCCACTTCAATTCTTTGATCACTTGATATTTTTCTAGTCATATTTCCTTTGTTTATATTTACCACGGTCTTCCATTTATTATTTATTTGACCTTTTGTAAATTATTACATGCAGGTTTTCTCCAATTGACACCAATGTGGTTTTGCGGGAATTTGAGAAATGTGGCGTCATTTTGAAACACATTATAGGCCCCAGAGATGCTAACTGGATGCACATTCTATATCAGGTATTTCTTATACCTATAAACAAGTTATCATGTTAAGATTTTGTTGTTCTTGCATGTTTATTCATGATGTCTTAAGGGCCTGTTTGGTATTGTATTGATCTGGGATTAGTGGTGCTGGTAGCAATATTTCTGTTGCTCTGGGATTAGGGCATGTTCCCTATGTCTTTTTCATTATATTGCTAATCTCACCCCTTTCCTTGTAAAATTTAATCTGTAGTTTTATCCCTTTTCCTATTCTCCGCTTACCTTTCTCTCCAGCTCACGTCTCCTTTCTTCCCCTTCAACTGATGATTGTTACAGTGCTTGTTGCTTTAATTTTTTGTTTGATTCTATGTGTATTTGCGCATCAGTTTTCGTTCTGATATAAGTACAATTTATAGCTAATTGCTGTCCGTCTGTTTGTAAAATGTTCTGAATTGTGAATGAAAAGAGTGACATAAATCCTTCATCTAAGTACCTCTTTACTGTAATCTAGAGGTGTTATGACTTTACGATCTTGCGTGATTCTGACCCTGTACCTAGAAACCCCTATGTATTTTTTCCCTTTCCAGACGTAATTATGCTTACTTTATGTATATGCTTAACTGACACAGTGTTTGACTGAGGAACTTTGTGTTTCATAAGTAACCAAAAAAATTTACAAATTCCGTTTGTCATGTTAGTGTCAAGTTCTGTGAATTTCAATGAAGATTGAAGGGCTTCTTTTGGTTGACTCTTTGCTTCTGCAACTGCAGATTTGCTGTTATGCCAACTATATTTGTTAAAGTAAGAGTGCTATGAACTTTGGTTTTAACTTCTTTTAAAAAGTCGCCTATCTTTGTGTTTGTCTCCGTAGCTATGCTGGGTGCGACCTTGCCGGTCGCTGCTCATGGTCTTTGGATTGATTTCTACCTGTGCCATGAAGCCAATAAGTTGTGGCCATTTGCATTTGGCTAAACCATGTCACTTGCAATGCCCATGTTGTGTATTCTCTGCAGTATGCACTTTCTTTTTTTGGGAGCTCCTCACTGTATTAGTTTTTCTCTGTGGGATCTTTTCTCTCCAGTTGATACCAATAACACTAGTCTTCTGGAAAGTAAAGCTTTTCAGTACCATAAAGCTGTGGCTTATTTTCTCTATTTTTGTGGTGCAGAATCGTGCTGATGCTCAAAAAGCTCTTAGCAAAAATGGTATGCAGATAAATGGAGTTCTTATGATCGGAGTTAAACCAGTGGATCCAATACAACGTCAGGCACTGAATTGTAGGCTCAACAAACAGGGATTTATACCTTTACCCCATACTCCCTCCAGTAAAAGCAATGATCCGATTCCATTTCAAACCTCCTCTCATCCTCACTATCTACAAAATGGCAGCAACAGTGCAAAACAATCATCTGGATCTGTTGCTACCCCAGCCAAATCTGTGGTGTCCAAAATTGTGGACTTAATGTTTGGCGTCTAATCTTCCATGTTTCTGTTGTTCTTACGTGCTTCTGTGTTATTTCTACTCTATAGTGGCAAAATTCAAAGCTGCTTTTCTTGAATACAAAATTGACTCCAAAATACAGTTGAGTTCTATGTGATTCTCGCTCCCTTCCTCCCCTTTCCCTCTATTCTCTTCTCCGTTTCTCCTCCAAACGCTTGTTCATGGTGTATTTGTATCAGCTTGAGCCCCGTAGGGTCATGGGGCTTTGTTATAATGGAGATATAGAAGTTTAAATCTCTCTCGCTCTATCAATGTATTTTATTGAGTGTGAATAGTTGGCATTTTGTGATCGTTTCTCGTGACGTATGATCTTCGGAGCATGACACATCTCTTTTATTGTGTTTCCCAATATTGAGGTCCCATTTTATGTTATCCACGCTCCGATTGTGGCCTAGGCGTTTGGGTGTGTTACAGTGTTTCACATAGTTTGACGGATTGCATAAACTCATGAGATCCTCACGAGCTAATTTTTGGAACTAAGTTAAATTAACGGTCCCTTTTTCTTATCATAAGCATATTACTAGCTTTCCAGTTGATGTTTACAACAGCGACTTCTGGCAGATTTTAAGAAACTTAATATCCAATATTGTGACTGTTGCGACTTCATGTACTATGGGTTTCTAAGCGCTAGACTTGTTTGCTACTTTGCTTCCCTTAATTTGAATGCAACGGATTATGCTGTGAACCTAAGGGTGGATTTGTGGTCGTTTCCGTTGCCATTGGTTTCTTGATCAAATATGGTTCAACTAGCTCTAACTAGATTCTCACCGCAGCGCAACGTTTTACAACAAAAATATTGTTGGAAATATCTATGCGTATTGCCTATCTCGTTCTTCGCTTCTAGTTGAGATTGTATTGTCATAATAATTGCATATTGAATACAGAAAAAAATTAGCTCTAAATAATACTAACATGATATTGTTTGTGTCCGACTATTTGTTTGCTAGAAGAGGAAACTTCTGTGCGGTTAGAAATTTGCGCGTGATAACTGAATAGAATGTTTAACCGCTTTCCCACAGAAATACGGGAGGGGATCTTAACCCACCAAAAATAAAATAAAATACTACATTAGTTAATTTTGTTTCCTTTCAATACAACCAAACGAAAATATGAAAGGTCTAAATAGTGCTCATCACTTGTTTTAGATAAATGGTTTGAACAGATAAAAACTAATAATGCCAAGAAAAGAGAGTTCTCTTCGTCTTTTAATTAGCCGTTACAAGCAAGACCGAGTCAATTAAGAGAAAATCTTATTGGACCTCCCACGACCCTTCTCCTCTAAGACTATAACTTCCACGTTTCTCACCACGTTTGCATTTTGCAGCTTTCAATTCCCTCTTATTTAATAGCTTCGTAGTATAACATCCTTAACCACATTACAAAGTGAGTGATTTCCTAACCTTACGAATTTCCACATCTCTTCACTGAGTTACTTATAGAGTAAAAAGCATTAGCAACATCATAATTCGTTAACAATTAGGAGGACAAACATGGCTTCGATCAAGTCTACTACTATCTGTTTCGTCACTGCTCTTTTCATCAGCCTTACAATATCTTCCGTTGTTGCTGCCTCCGGCGAGGAATTCAAAGTTGGTGATGCTGTGGGTTGGCGTCAGCCAAGTGTTAATGAAACAGATCTCTATCATCACTGGGCTTCAAAGAAGAAATTTCACGTCGGCGATTCACTCCGTAAGTCAATCAACTTATATTAATTACTAGTTGTTATTCCGTCAGTGTATACTTACCTATGCGTAAAATGCATGCCTAGTAATTCTTTGATTTCTCATTCATGGTTAATTCCATTTTACTTATGTTCTATACTGCTACAACTTTAAAATATGTAGCAATGCGATCATGAGTCATGTTTAACTTAAGTTAGATGAAGGCTTTTGCCTACATGTACGCTGAGGCGAAGCAAAGTAATGCAATCATATTTAGTAATTTGAAATTATGTTTGGACATGCATTTCACTTAAAAAACTATTGCAGCCGTGTGAGCGAGGAAAAAAGTTTTTTCTGTCGAAAAATTTCCAAAAACTTACAAAATTTCATGAAAAAAATACAATTTTGAAGATTTCTTTTTTTAAAAAGGAATTTTGTTTTAATGAACAAACGGGGCATTTAATGTGTTTAATTGAATCTAGTATTTTTGACTTGGGACATTCATATATGTGCGAAAAAATATTGAAATTTCAACGGTTATAAATTTCTGAACTTAAAATTTCAAAAGTACAATTTGTTAGTGCTAAAAACTAATCTGTATGTATACATAAATATTATTTACTGCGAATAATTTCTAATTATACTTAGTAGTATATTTTGAAGATTCCGCACAAGTACGTACCTTTAGTACCTACGATCGTATATTTCCCTTTGGATAAATGAAGGTTAAATGCGTAACGTAGTTTTATTTATATGCAGGTTTTGAGTACAAGAATGACTCGGTTGTCGTAGTCGACAAATGGGAATTTTATCATTGCAATAGGACTCATCCAACTTCGGGCGCTAAGGACGGCAACACCACAGTAAATCTCGACAGGGCTGGTCCCTTTTACTTCGTGAGCGGTGATCCTGAGCATTGCAAAAATGGCCAGCGTTTAGCCATTGAAGTTCTCCCACTATACCCCATCTCCCAATCTCCACCACAACCAATTTCACTGGCGCCATCGCCATCGCCACTTTCAAGCTCAGCACTTGTTTCTTCAGTTCCGCTGATATTCATCTCAGTGCCGCTTATGGTTGCTGTTATTGTCTTTGTTTAGTGATTTACTCTAACATTCTACTAAGAATATTTAGGTTGTTTAGCTAATTATTTCAAGCATTCTGGTGCTTTAGGTTCTAGATTCTGTTGTTCCACTTTTCATTCTAGATTTATGGCTCATTTTAATTTATTGTGTACATCCCTCGTACTTGATGGAAATTTTTATTTATTTAGTAATTTTTCTTTCGGTTCTAAATTGCACTTACATGATTTATATTTTATTGAGCTACCTAGGGCGAAATAATCAAGATTCACGAGAGGATCAAGATTATCTAATTTTAGGTATTGATTTTGGTCATTAATCACCCTATCATTAGATAATCAATCACTTTCTTTAGTCGTCCGTTAACTCAGGGTGGCTAATCAACTTTCATAAAAAAATTTATTAACCCGTGATTGATAATCGATCAAGAAATTGCTAATCAACCTACTTCTTAGTCGATGAGGTCATTTTTTTTAATTTCAAACTTACGAGAAAACATAAAGAAAAAAGAAAATGAGTGTCATTTCCTTAATTCAGAACTTACGGGGTCCATTCGGCTAAATATTCTCGAGTTGAGTTAGATTGTAAACGGGTGGGAAAGATTTAAAGAAATACAAGGGGCAATGTGCAAAGCTCGATAACTACAAGGTTCTTAGATGCAACTTTCAGGAAGTTTCTTTTTAAACTTAAAATTCGCCGTATATCACCAACCCCTGCTTCTGCCAAAATTATTGGGCTTCTAGAAAATTCCTTCTCACGTGGAGCTTCCAGTGGACGAAGCCTTATCTTCTCCATTTCACTGCTCTAGAAAACCCTAGTCTTTCATTTCCACATTCACCAATTTTACGAGCTAGCTCAGGTACTCTTCCTCAGTCTTCATTCTGTTACCTTTTTGTAATCCTAATCTGTGATTTTATCTGACTTTGAATAATGCATTCCTGTCTGTTTGAAACTGTGAGTCTGCAACTGAATAGCTTTATCCTCTATTGGCTAAAGTTTTCTTATTTTGGAACTTAATCTCTGTGGCTTTACTGTTGCTAATATCATAAAACTAAAGTTCACGCTTTCTGATATTTAGACACAATTCGTTTGTTTAAACTTTGAAGCTAGTTGCATTGCAGTTTCCAAATTAATTCGGCTCTTTTTACTAGTAATTCCATGGAGTTTAAACAACAACACGCCTCAATACCAACTAGTATCCATTCCCCTTTATTGGGCTTGTTTCAGTTTAATACTCAATAATATATCCTTTAAGATAAGGCAATTGTTTTAGCATGGTTCCAACTCGCAATGACGCAATCACAAAGCACTTCATAAACTAATACTGGAAAAGTACAGATTGGCAATTCTTTTTCTAGTGTGTAATCCTTTTAATAATAGGTGCGAGGAACAGAAAGACTGTCTGATAACAGGGAGGATTTAAAATGTCTGTGACTTTTGTTCGTTAGCTCTCCTTATATATATTTGCTGTCTCCTTGAAGTAGAACACTTGATAGAACATGTAATGATTATTTTATGTGTTACCTAGAAAATATTGCTCTTGGATTGACCATCCAGATGGATGAGGCATAAGCACATCATTTGTTGAATTTGTCTTTTGGTAATTTTCTTAAAGATTATGGGCTTATGCTATAGTCCTTTAAAGTTTTGCTGCACAAGTTTTTCTTGAACTTCTCTTTCTACCAAAAAGGGATGGAGCTATCTCTTCGGTTGGGGATTCTAGTTATTTTAAGTTATTGGATTCTAAATTAAGAATTTGTACAGATTCAATAAATTTCTTAAGACAAATACAACGTTTGGACCAAAGCTACCGAGTTCGGCCAAACCCATAATGGAAGAGCTTGCTCCGCCCCTGCTACAAAAAGTTCTCCAAAAGAGTATAGATTGAAGTGTTTACTTTCTTTAGATTTTTGAGTTTGCATGTATGATTAGATCTCTTTATGCTTCCATATTCTATGAACTTCTTTCAACCAATTCCCAGTTGTTAAGCATGCGAAATATGACCCACCGGTATATGAAGTCACAACATCGATAGTACTTGCATCCTAATTCTGTGCTTGCGTTTCAGCATTCATATCTTTAATTTTACTCACTGTGCGTGTGTATTCTTTTCTACATAATGGACTGTTTTTAATACCTTTTGTTTGGCAATGGTGTCCTATGCTGCAGACCTTTTCTCTTGAGTATGGCTGCGACCTTCACTTCAGTTTGTTCGATTGCCTCTACCAGCCAAGCAGTGGATAAGAAACTCATAAATTCTTCTGAAACTTTATCCTCATTCACTGCGATTTCTTCGAGTTCATTAGGGGGCAGGAAAAAGAATACAGTTTTAAAGAAAAGATATGATTTCAAGATTCAGGCTGCGACCAAGAAGTTACACTTCAATCAGGACGGTGATGCCATTAGGAAGCTGCAAGTAAGCTTGATAGGAAATTTTAACTCATTTATCTTGGATGGACACCCATCCTCTTGTCTACCCCATTAATTCTTGTTATTCCGTGGCCTTCCAATTCAGGCAGGTGTTGACAAGCTTGCAAATTTAGTAGGTGTTACTCTTGGTCCAAAAGGAAGAAATGTAGTTCTTGAGAGCAAGTATGGCTCTCCCAAAATTGTAAATGATGGTGTTACTGTAGCTAGAGAGGTAAACCTCCCAAACACCCTATCTGATTGTGTTCTTCTGGTATTCAACTGTCAAAAGATGTGCATGTGTTGTGACCTTATGATGTATTTACCGCGATAAATGCTGAAATTGCTCTTGCTTTGTGCTTTTTCTGCATATTACTCATAAAACCATTTTAAAAAGATTTTGTACTCCGTTATTTTATTTCATTACACTTGAGGTGCAGTATGCAGCCCAGTTACTGTGGTTTAACTATGTGGGAATAAATGTGTTGTTATGTATATTCTGGATTGCTCTACAGGTTGAACTGGAAGACCCTGTTGAGAATATTGGTGCAAGTTTGGTGAGACAAGCTGCTTCAAAGACAAATGACTTGGCTGGGGATGGCACAACTACATCTGTTGTTTTGGCACAGGGGCTCATAGCTGAAGGTGTTAAGGTTTGTAAGAAGTTGCTTTCATTTTGCAAGCTATTTCGAGGATATGATGGTGTTATGATTGATGTAGCTTCCTTAATGCTGGTTATTCAGGTGGTCGCAGCTGGTGCAAACCCTATTCAGATTACCAGGGGAATTGAGAGGACCACTAAAGCCTTGGTCGCTGAGCTGAAAAAGATGTCTAAAGAGGTGAAAATTATGCAAATCTATGTTAAAGTTCATTGATGACTTGAGTACAACTGCTTCACTAAACTTGGTTTTGAAACAACTATTCTTTCTAAAGTTGTGCTCTTATTCCTTCTTGATAATTGTTTAGGTTGAGGACAGTGAACTAGCGGATGTAGCTGCAGTTAGTGCAGGAAACAACTATGAAGTTGGAAATATGATAGCAGAAGCAATGGGTAAAGTGGGTAGGAAAGGTGTAGTGACTCTTGAGGAAGGGAGAGGTTCTGAGAACAGCTTGTATGTTGTGGAAGGCATGCAATTTGACCGTGGCTATATCTCCCCATACTTTGTTACAGACAATGAGAAGATGGTAGCTGAATATGAAAACTGCAAGGTATGATTAACCATGACATTTCTTTTTGCATGTTATCTTCGAATACTATTTCCTGGATATGCTAAAGAATGGGTTACGGATAAATAATTTTTTTAAAATTTTCAGCTGCTTCTGGTAGACAAGAAGATAACAAATGCAAGGGACTTGGTTAATGTTTTGGAAGAAGCAATCAGGGGTGGATACCCAATATTGATAATCGCTGAAGACATTGAGCAGGAAGCTCTAGCCACTCTGGTTGTGAACAAACTTAGAGGAGCACTGAAAATTGCTGCACTCAAAGCCCCTGGTTTTGGGGAGCGAAAAAGCCAATATCTTGACGACATTGCTATCCTTACTGGAGGTCTGTCGACAATTAAGTGATTGTAGTGTTCCATGAAAGTTGTGTTTACTTGTCAAGTATGTTTTTTTTGCAATGTGCACTCAGGTACTGTCATCAGAGAGGAGGTTGGTTTATCCCTGGACAGGGCTGGAAGCGAGGTCTTAGGGCATGCTGGAAAGGTGGTGTTGTCAAAGGATTCAACAACAATTGTTGGTGATGGTAGTACCCAGGAAGCAGTAAACAAAAGAATTGCACAAATTAAAAGAATTGTTGAGGTGCAACTTTGTTTTATAGATATTTCGGATGTGGATCAATAGGTTGCACTACTCACAATTCTACCATATTGGATTGTCATGCAGGCAACTGAACAGGATTACGAGAAGGAAAAACTGAATGAGAGAATTGCAAAACTATCAGGGGGCGTTGCCGTAATTCAGGTTACTTGATGATTCAGTTATTTAGGTTGATTTTGTCTTTTTGGGTGTCATATGCCTAGTATAATTGTTCTTGCTCTGCTCTGGGGTTCTTAATTCCAGGTTGGTGCACAAACTGAAACGGAACTCAAAGAAAAGAAATTGAGAGTAGAGGATGCTCTCAATGCGACAAAGGTTTGTTTTAGTGGCGATGCAGTTATGGCATCTCTATTAATTTGAGACTCTCAACAAGTATAATCTTACTGGGGTAATGATATTTCTCTTTGGTAACTAAAGGCAGCCGTTGAGGAAGGCATTGTTGTCGGCGGTGGATGCACCTTGTTGCGGCTTGCTACCAAAGTTGAAGACATTAAAGGAACTCTTGATGATGATGAACAAAAGGTAATGCAACTTCTTAATTCGTTGAGGAAGATCCCGTGTACCATAAGCTTTGTCTGTTCATGTTAAGGCTTCTGTAGGCAGATGACACTAATTCAGTTTTCATAAACACTCCAGATTGGAGCTGATATTGTCAAGAGAGCTTTGAGGTACCCCATGAAGTTAATAGCCAAGAATGCTGGTGTCAATGGAAGTGTTGTGATTGAGAAGGTAAATAAGGTTGAAATAGGTTGACTGTTTGTGTCACATTGTAGGAGAGTATCAATGATTCGTTGACTGGTTTTATGATCTTTCTTCAGGTGTTGTCCGATGACAATCCGAAGTATGGTTATAATGCGGCCACTGGAAAATATGAAGATTTAATGGCTGCTGGTATAATTGATCCTACAAAAGTAACTATCTCAAACTCTTTTTATTCTAGCACAATATCGTGAAACCTATCCTAAAGAGAAACAACATACTGA